CCCAAATGCTGGGCCCTCGGCGCTCATTGGGAGATCCAGATGGAGTTCCAGGCTCGTGCTTTGTCCTGGCCCAGCTCCAGCCTTTGCAGAATTTGGGGAGTGAACCAGCAAATGGAAGATCTCTCTTTCTTTCTTCTTCTCCCTCTACCTTTCAAATAACTAAAATAAATTTTTTAAAAAATAATAAAAGAGTAAGCAGAAAATATAAAGGAAGGACTTAAAAGCCCATTATAAGAACCTTGAAGAATTTTTTGCAGATTTGTGTAATTCATAAAATAGTACACTTGGGGCATCAGGAAGCCTTAGTGGTTTAATGTTGTCATTATATATGTTTTTATTGTATGTGTCTCATTATACATGCATATTTGTGATTTCCTCATATCCATGTGAATTTCTTTTAACAAATCACATATTCTCTCTATATATCACTTCTTTTGAAAATGTAGAGAATAGGGTTTCTTTGGTTCTCAGATGAGAAAGATGAAAAGAGTGTCAAATTCATAAAGGTGCAGAATTGTGCTTCTGCTGTTTCTCACTTTATTTTTCTGACTCTATGATCTATGAAGTAATAGTTCTAAGGAAGATTAGGAGAATAATTGAAGTTGTATTCTTTACTTAACAAAGTGTATTCCCAGGAAGCTGGTGTCAGTGCTGCCTGGACAAAGACAGATACAGAAAATGAGTAATAAGATTTTACTGGGAAAATGAAAAAAACAAGCTAGGAGGAGAGGTGCTGGTACACATGGAGATAAATGGTTCACAATTAGCATAGACAGCAGCAACTGTCTGCTGAAAAGGCCAGGAAGTGTCTTGAGACCTGGCCTCTGTGGCCTGAAGTTACCAGGGCACTGATGCCCGGCATTAGCTTCTCACTTCTCACTTCTCACTGCTTCTCAGGACTAACACTGGAGATGGGGAAAACTTACAGCCACAGAGTTATCCACTTGTTAGCAATTTTAACAAATTCAGTGGGTGAAATTGTTTTCTATGTCATAAGCATCCTTCCAAGTTTTTATTTATTTATTTGAAAGACAGAGTTACAGAGAGGCAGAGGCAGGGAGACAGAGAGAGGTCTTCCATTCACTGGTTCACTCCCCAGATGGCCACAATGACAATGGCCGGAGCTGCACCAATCCAAAGCCAGGAGCCAGGAGCTTTTTAGGGTCTCCCACACGGGTGCAGGAACTCAAGGACTTGGGCCTTCTTCAGTTGCACTGCCAGGCCATAGCAGAGAGTTGGATCAGAAGTAGAGCAGCCGGGACTCAAACTGGCACCCATATTGGAAGCCAGCACTGCAGGTGGCAGCTTTATCCACTATGCCGCAGCCCCCAAGTTTTATTTTATATTCATTTATTTATTTTATTTTTTTGACAGGCAGAGTGGACAGTGAGAGAGAGAGAGACAGAGAGAAAGGTCTTCCTTTGCCATTGGTTCACCCTCCAATGGCCGCCGCGGCTGGCGCGCTGCGGCCGGCGCACCGCGCTGATCCGATGGCAGGAGCCAGGTACTTCTCCTGGTCTCCCATGGGGTGCAGGGCCCAAGCACTTGGGCCATCCTCCACTGCACTCCCTGGCGGCAGCAGAGAGCTGGCCTGGAAGAGGGGCAACAGGGACAGAATCCGGCGCCCCGACCGGGACTAGAACCTGGTGTGCCGGCGCCGCAAGGTGGAGGATTAGCCTAGTGAGCCGCGGCGCCGGCCCAAGTTTTATTTTTTAATGACTATCCTAGCCCTTTCAGTTGCACAAGTTTTAGGATATGAACATAGTAGTAACAAAAGAGGGAGAGCCTTGCTTATATTGAAGCTAATTTATTTGTGTTAACCATTCTGATGATATTAGGTCTCCAGTGAAAAGAACCTCCTTCAGGCAAACAAGAAAAGAGGGGAGTACTCCAAGACAGATGTCCGTTTGCCTGAACTAAACTATAATCATCTCCCTGAACTAAGAGCCTTGGAAGGCATTGGTATGTTCACAGTGTTTTTACTTTTTTCATCCATTTGGTTTACATTAGTTACAACGTATGGTAAATAAACTAGCAATATTAAAAATAAAAATTCACAATAACTTTATATATTTAACTATGTAATTATATAGGCAAAATAAGTAACATACTGAAAGACATATAGAATGTGAAAAACTAACAAAATATATATTTTTCCCCACTGTTTATGGTTGTTTTTATCTAGCTCGAAATTCTAGGCTCATAAGAAAGGAGAACAAAATTCTTTCAGAATCTCGAATTCCTTCTCTGGCTGCCATTGACCTGCACACACCCAACATTGCAGTACATCAGGTACAGAAATTCTCTTTATAGGTTGGGTAGCACTTGTGTGTTTCTCATATTTACTATTTTTGTATTTTAGGATTTTCCTTTAAGCACTAGACAGGATTTTTTTTTTTCTGATGGGATCTATAAAACTTAACTTGTTAAGATTTGGTTTATGGTTCCTTATACTTGGTATCTTATTCCATTTATATTTACATAAACATTCACCAATGTAGAATAATCCATTTTTATAGGTGGGACATGTGTATGTGTCTGTGTGTAGACTAGTGGTCTTCATGGAACCATGTGTTCATGGAACCATGTGTTTTCTGGTAATATATAGTATTTCACTGCATTAACCACAAAATTACAACCTAACTTTCCAAGAGTAAAACTGTAATTGTGTTTATTCTTTCAAAATGAATTGTCTATTTGACATTTTTTCCAAGACAATCCACTCCATCCATGTTAAAAGTTTGTTATTCCATTTAGCTATCTTTTTCTATAGTTTCTTTTTTTTTTTTTAAAGATTTATTTATTTATTTGAAAGTCAGAGTTACACAGAGAGAATGAGAGGCAGAAAGAGAGAAAGAGAGAGGTCTTCCACCCGATGGTTCACTCCCCAACTGGCAGCAATGGCCGGAGCTGTGCATCACAATCCGAAACCAGGAGCCAGGAGCTTCTTCCGGGTCTCCCACTTGGGTGCAGGGGCCCAAGACTTGGGCCATCTTCCACTGCTTTTCCAGGCCACAGCAGAGAGCTGGATGGGAAGTGGAGCAGCCAGATCTCGAACCGGCGTCCATATGGAATGCCGGCGCTTCAGGCCAGGGCTTTAACCTGCTGTGCCACAGCGCCAGCCCCTCTGTAATTTCTTTTAACTCTTCAGAACATGTGTATTCCTGCTACTCTTATATCAACAATGGCCACATCACTGATTTTTCATTAAGAAAATTGGAAAACTTTTAAATTTCCTGAGTCAGCCATATCTTGCTATAAATGTTGAGTACGGATCATTATACTTTCTTTTTACTTCTTCAGTGGGATTTCTCACCTTTGCTGAAAGTGGACGATTTTTGTTTTGAGACTTATTTCCCCTTTCTTGTCATGAAAGCATTTCCCTTGCATTGGATTGTACCTGTATGCTGCCTCCTCACCATGTGGATGCTTTTCCAACTGTTACTCTGCCATGGTCCTGGAGAGCTCTCCACAAACAAGGGTAGTTGCCTAGAGATGCTGGGCCAAAGATTCATCGCCACTGTTGCTTTGCCTTATCTCTTGCTGCCAACTTCTTTAGCAACATTTAATGAAAACGGAACAAACTTCTATTGTGTGTAGATTCATCACTGTCGCAGATTCCACACTTAGGTTCTACAGAGCCTCAGTAAATTTCTTGTGTACTTCTACAATTAGATTTCATGTTGCTTTTAAAGGTGTTGAATTGTGTGCTTGCTTGTTATCAGTAAGTATTGTTCAGAACACTTTTCGGAGCTAACAGAACCCAGTCCAGTTTCATGCAGTGGAAGAAAGGCTTTGCCTGCCTCCATACTTCCTCAAGGTTTTTATTTGCTGTTCTACACCTTTTATATTTATAAACTGGTTTTGAATTCATTATCCTCAATTAATTTGTTCAATTTCCAGTTGTATTTAAAATATAAGAAAGGAGCAAATAGTGTAGCAAATTACATAAATCAGCACCAAAATAACTCGAGTTTGTAGGTGGAAAATCTGTATGGGAAGAGAAAAAAAAATGGAAGACTAAAAGTAGAAGTCCTTTTGGTAGGAACTGTGACTTGCCTCATACTCTTGCTTCCTGGTATTCGTTAATCCATTGCTTCAGTACATAAAGCATACATTTTCACATTTATAAGGTCTATTATATGCCTCTGGAACAATCAGCAAGATAGATTTGTATTATTTAAATATTGCAAGACCCATAGACTCTGTCTCCAGTCTCTCACCCTCTATACACTTATACATGTTATATATTCATACGCATTCAAAGTTAAACATTTAAGAAATATTCAGAGATGTTCTCTCCATCAGTGGTGTTTTCTAGACACATTAGGTAACAATAAATATATTTCAGAGCACCACTAAATAAAACAACAAAAGTAGTGTTTGTTTGTTTAGAATTGGTGTAATCACTGGATCTACTGAAAACTAAGGTGGTGCCAAGCAGATGGAAGGAAGAGAAAGGATTATTTACAGATAGGATGACTTGATGATTAGAGCAGGGGTTCCTTTTTTTTTTTTTTTTTGACAGGCAGAGTGGACAGTGAGAGAGAGAGACAGAGAGAAAGGTCTTCCTTTTGCCGTTGGGTCACCCTCCAATGGCCGCCGTGGCCGGCACGCTGCGGCCGGCGCATTGCGCTGATCTGAAGCCGGGGGTCAGGTGCTTCTCCTGGTCTCCCATGGGGTGCAGGGCCCAAGCACTTGGGCCATCCTCCACTGCACTCCTGGGCCACAGCAGAGAGCTGTCCTGGAAGAGGGGCAACCGGGACAGAATCCGGCGCCCCGACCGGGACTAGAACCTGGTTTACTGGTGCCACAGGCGGAAGATAAGCCTATTGAACCACGGTGCCGGCCAAAGAGCAGGGGTTCTTAATCTTGGTGGCAGAATGAATGACCTAGGGAGATTTTAGAAGTATAGCTGTCTGAGCCCCACCTCCCGACAGTCTGACTTGTTTGGAGTATGACCAGGAGGCTGCAATTTTTTCTTTGGAAATACTGTTTTAAATTTTGAAGCAAATTGAAACTTCCAGAAACATTGGAAGAAGAATATCCCCACACCATTAGAGAATAAGTTGCCAGTGTGATTTCCCATCAACCCTGAATGCTTTAGTGTGTATCTCCTGTAATCCAGGACAATCTCTTACATAACACAGATCAGAAATTTATACTGCTGCTAGTCCTCAGACCCTGCTCAGTGTGGCCAATTATCCTAATATCATCCTCTACATTGAAAGGGTACAGTTTGGCCGGCGCCGCGGCTCAATAGGCTAATTCTCCGCCTGTGGCGCCGGCACACCAGGTTCTAGTCCTGGTCGGGGTGCCGGATTCTGTCCCGGTTGCACCTCTTCCAGTCCAGCTCTCTGCTATGGCCTGGGAGTACAGTGGAGGATGGCCCAAGTGCTTGGGCCCTGCACCCCATGGGAGACCAGGAGGAGCACCTGGCTCCTGGCTTCGGATCAACGTGGTGCGCCGGCCGCAGCGGCCACTGGGGGGTGAACCAACAGAAAAGGAAGACCTTTCTCTCTGTCTCTCTCTCTCACTGTCCACTCTGCCTGTAAAAAAAAAAAAAAAAAAGAAAGGGTACAGTTTGGAACCACATGTTGCATTTAGTTGTCATGTCTTTTTAATCTCATTTGGTCAGGAATAATTCTTTAATATTCCTTGTTTTTCACGACTATAACATGCTAAGGATGTTCCTTGCTTTGGGTGTGTCTGATGTTTCCTCAAGACTAAACAGAGTCTGATCATGTATCTGGTGGGAAAAGCACAGAATGGTCCCATGTTCTTTTTTTCTTTTTAAAGATTTATTTTATAATTTTAAAGGCAGAGTTACAGAGAGAGGAATAGGGGAGAGAGACAGAGAGATAAACCTTCCATCTTCCATTTGCTGGTTCACTCCCTAAATGGTCGCAACAGCCAGCGCTGGACCCGACTGGAGCCAGGAGCCAGGAGCATCTTCCAGGTCTCCCACGTGGGTGCAAGGGCAAAAGCACTTGGCCCATCCTCTGATGCTTTCCCAGGCACATTAGCAGGGAGCTGGATTGGAAGTGGAGCATCTGAGACTCAAACCAGCACCATATGGGATGCAGGTGTTACAGGTGTGGCTTTACCTGTTACACCACAACACAGGCCCCACCATGTTCCTTTCATTGCATCTTTTCTGCTGGCGCAGGATTTCAGATGTTCACTTTGATCACTTGTGGTGATGTCTGACAGGCTTCTCATTATGAAGTTTCTTCTTTTCCCTTTATAATTAATAAGAATTTCATGAGGGGAGTACTTTGACACTATGTAAATGTATTATTTGTCATTAAATTTAGCATTTATTATTTATACCATTCTAGACTGATAGACTCCTATATTGTTCAGTGCATTATAATTAGTAACAATCTGTAACTCTCATAGAGTAAAATTCACTATTTTTGGTGTATGTTTAGATAAATACATGGAGTCTTGTTACCATTATCATGTTCAAGAAATATTGCAGGTTCATCCCTTCCCCCCACATTCTCTCCTTTTGTGATCAAGCTCTCTGCTCTCCTTAATCCCTGGTGACTACTCTTAGGTTCTGTCTCTGTATAGGTTGCTTTTCGCAGAATTTCATATTTGTGGAATGAAACCATATACTTTATGTAGTTTTGAATTGCTCTTCTTTGACTTACGTTGCATCAGAGCTTCAGCCATATTACTGCATTTATCCATAGTGTGTTCCTTCTTATTGCTGAGTAACATTCCCTTTTATGAATTTATCCATTTCCCAGCCTAAGTATGTTTGGTCATTTACAGTTTTGGACAATGAAAAATGAAGTGTGATGATCTTTTGTATATACTAAAATGGTTTTGTGTGTGTGAATATAGATTTTTGCATTTAGTTTGCTGAAATTTCTGCTGAAATCTTTTGCCCATTTTCAATGGATTGTTGGATTTCATGTATTTGTAAGCATTTTCATTTTCATTTTATGTGAAAGGCAGAGGGAGTGAGAGAGTGATTTTTTTTAAAGATTTATTTATTTGCAAGGTAGAGTTAGAGAGGGAGAAACATACATACACACACACACACACAAAGAAAGAGAGAGAGAGAGAGAGAGAGAGAGAGAGAGAGAGGTGATCTTCTGGTTCATTCCCCAAATGGCCTCAATAGCCAGAGCTGGGCCAGGCTAAAGCCAGGAGCCTAGACCTTCATCAGGGTCTCCACATGGGTGCAGGGGCCCAAGAACTTGGGCCATCCTCCACTGCCTTCCAGGGTCATCAGCATGGAACTAGATTGGAAGTGGAGTGGTGGGGACCCGAATTAGCGCCCATATGTGATGCTGGCACCACAGGTGGAAGCATAACCTACTATGCCACAACACTGGCCCCTGGAATTAATCTCTTAACGTGCACACAGCATTTTGAACATCTGTGACATCAAAAAGATGGATTATAATGGGCCATGGAAATGCAAAAGTGTCATTTAACATAAGTATAAACTAAGAAGTAAAAAAATAACCCTTCTTAGCCTGTCCTATTCCATGCAAGTAAGCAACCTGAGCTAGGAATAGTTAATTCTAAACATCTGATATTTGAATAATTGGATTTGGACTTTTTGGGGACTGGTGTTTTGCAGTTACTAAGAACCCATGATGCTGTATTGCTAATTCATAGGTGTCAGGATCTCCCCTGTCAGATGGTTCAGAGGCCGATTCGCCTTGGATGGAGCACCAGCACTGAAGATCACTTGGTGGTTCTGATCTGGGTAGGTCTGATTTCTCATACTAAAGCTGGGTAACCTCTCACAGGAAGTGTTTTGTGGCTTGCTGAACAAATTTTTCCCTTGAAACATTTCTTTGGTGATTCATTCCATGAGAACTCCTGATAGAGAAAGAATTGTGCCACTTACAAAACTAGAAGTAGCCTTTGTCTGTGAGATGAAATGCCTTTCCATAGAGCTTACATCTCTTGCACTAATACCTTGTATTTTATTAGCTATAGTAGTGTGAATTTAGGGGAACAAGTGTTCAAGAAGGGTATGTACTTGTCTCCCTTATCAGTCAGTTGCCCTATGAGCTTATAAAGCAAGACAGATTGATTACTCGACAATCTTTTTCCTAATAAAAAGGAATCATTGCTATTCTAAATGATTGCCTTGCTTTTAAATATAACATTTATTTATTTATTTGAAAGGCATAGTTATAGAGAAAGGAGGAGAGACAAAGATCTTCCAACTGCTGGTTCACTCCCCAGATAGTTAAAATAGCCAGGTCTGAGCCAGGCTGAAGCCAGCAGCCAGGAGCTTCCCAAATGGGTAGCAGAAGCCCAAATACTTGAACCATCTGCTCCTGCTTTTCCCAGGCCATTAACAGGGAGCTGAATAGGAAGTGGAACAATAGGGATTCGAACTGATGCCAATATGGGATGCTGGCATTGCAGGCAGCAGCTTAACCCACTGTGCCACAGTGCCAACCCCTAAATACAACATTTTAGACCCAAAACACCCCAAACAGAACTAAAAAGGAGAAAGAAAAATGAGATCTTTTGAATGATAATAAAAGTGAGATATTTTAACTCAATCTGGATCTCCCACATTGGTGGCAGGAACCCACCTACTTTGGCTGTCATCCACCCCCCCCCCCCCCCAGTGCATTATTAAGAAGCTGGATCAGAAGCACAGAGTAGCTGAGACTCAAACTAGGCACCCCAGTATGGGATGTGGGCATCCCAAGCCACAACTTAACCCGCTGTGCCTTGGCACCCACCCCCACAAAGCAGTTTTAAAATCTGTGACATTAAAGGTGAATTTACTGTGCTGTCATCAAAAGTAAATTTAATCCCTCATTTTGTAGGCCCTCTCAAGGCTTCGGGGAGAGGTATTTGTAATTCATTCATTTGAATTAGTTCATGTGAACTAGGAACAACTAATTCATACAAACTGTGTAAACTTCAGGGATTTTTTTTCAGGATTTTTTTTAAACTTCAGGCCCTACAGGACTTAGATCTGTTTTGTCAAAAATAGTCAGTTTGCATAAAAGGAGATAGTGTGTTATCATTATAGTTTTTATTGGTAATTATCCTAAAGATTGTCTTTAAAATCTTAGTTTTGATACATATGATCTACGGTTTTCTTAGACTCCATAGTACCTACCAAAATTTGAGAAAACAAGTGAGGTTTCTAGATAGAGTATATGTAAAATATTTGGCAATATATCCGTCTGTCCTTTTAGATGCTGCTGTAGCTCTTGGGATGGCACCCTCTCCCAACAAAGCTGCTGATATCCTAGGAGGAGAGATGAGCGCTTTTGAGGGTTTGCCTCTGAACTGCCTGTGTTTTCTAAGAAAGGCTTTGCAGAAGAAGGAACGACAAAGACTTGGAGATGTTTCAAAAGAAGATTGAACAAGTACTCATCCCCACTGTTATCCCATCACCTTTCAAGTCCACTGATGCTATTTCAAGATGTATCTAGAAAGAGGGGTGATGTGATTCTTGTTACATGAATGTGTATTTGCTGTTAGAAAACTGTGTATTTAAAGTTATGTAAGATTAAAAGTGAGTGAGAAAAGAAGAGAGATATTACAAAATGTCATGCATTGAACTTTGTGTTATCTGTATAAATGTAAGCATTTATGTGGGAGTGGGCTTGATGGGGGGTGGTAAGAAAACTGGGATCAGTAAGAGAAACTGTTTCCTTTACCCTAACTTAACTCCAAAAATATACTTTAAAAAATCTCACTTATTTTTAGGCAGAAAGAGATGTAGGTAACTGCCATCCATGGAAAGATGAATATCTTTTAGTTTCTGTGATTACTGCTGATGTTTGGTCAGTGTATTGTGACCTCTGTACTGGTATAAGAACTACTATAATGCAAATCTGGCAGTGAAACCTTTTATTTCTAATGATTTAGTGCAAGTCTGACATTGAGAGTCCTCTGTATTTTAAGATTCTGGTGCTAAATGTTCCTGTGTGGAAGAACATAATTGGCAGAAAAGTGGAGGAGGAGGGGTTTGTTCTAAAAAAAAAAAAGAAGTATACACACAAGATAGGAGATGGGAAACGGGATGGCCTGTGGATCAGGATGGACTACTTTTCTCTGGGCAGTTGCTGTTGGACCACTCAGCCAAGGAGGCTTTGGGAAGGGAGTGTCCTTTGGATTCCACTCTTACCCATTGATAGTTTGAGAGAGACTAGCAAAGGAGTTCCTGTCCGTTTGTTCCTTAAACATTTAGGCCTTCCCAAAAGCTTTTCACCAGAGTGAAAAGTCATTTATCTGCATTCCAAACATCTTTTCTAATGCGAGGGTCCACAAATTTTTAGTTAGGGGTTAAAACAATTTGGCCCCAGATTCTTGATTTCTGAGTTTTCAGCTATGCTCTGCATTTGTCGTTTTAGAGAATAGTTGTTAAGGGAACCAGAATTTGTGTGAGTTTTTTGCCTTAACTGATTAATAGTGAATTGTTTTTTCCAAAGGCTATCGACTATAACTTAGCCCATGGATTTAACTAAAACTTTGTTCTATTACTCTTAGGAGCCTAAAACGGAAATTCTGACCTTAGATGTTTGACCCTCAAAAGCATAGGACATCCATAGGAGGCAAATAAGTGGTTCTGATATCCAAGTGCATAGGTGGTGTTTAAATTAAAAATTGGTCTTCATTTAAAAACTCTATTTTAGCCTCTGACCAGGTGTTTGACTAGATTAGTATGCCTAACATGCTGGGAAAAAATAGTATATTGGCATTAATATGCTTCATATTAAAATACTATTATTTTTACTTTGAGAAATATTGCCAGTAAACTCTACAGCATGGAAAGCAGGCAATACTTAAAGCCAAATGGCACTCCAGCTTATGTCCAGTGCTATTTTTATGTGAAAATACTAGCTCAATGCCTGAGGATCTAGGATCAGTTACCATCTGATTTTATACTTGCTTTTGGTATCTATGTCTATTAAAACAACTTGGAAATTTTAGAATTAAGGAACAAAAAATTATTTACTGTACGTCCATTTTGAGAGTTGAAGATCATATCTGATTAGAACCTTGGCAGAATTAATAGAAAATAAAATTTTGAAAATTGGGGCTGTAGATAGTGAACGAAATTCATCCTTTTTCCAGCTTAAGGTTGTTTAATTTCTCTGTACCAGGATATGATTTAGTCACATGCTAATGAAATATGTATGTTGTAGTGGGAGACAATGGGCTTGCTGTGTGTAAATATATATATGTTTTAAAATTAATAAATATGATCTTACTAAGCTCCATAGATGGTTTTAATTTAGATTTATTTAATTAAGCAACTTTAAATAATATAAAAATAAATAAATATATGGTATTTAACAAATAGTTTTGAAATAATCTGTTAATTATTTTTTTGGTGGGTGGAGACTTTGGAACAAGGGTAAGTTAGTTTTCCTGTACAGCTATTGATACCAGCAGCATGGTGATAAAATAACATGTCTTATAGAGACTGCCTGATAAAAGTTATGACAGACACAGGCTTAGGACGTGGTTCCCTTGATTGAGAATCCCTTGCTTGGTTAGAATGTACGGCACCCCATTGAAATGGGAACATAAAAATATATTTTCTTATGTGGCTCTCACTTTTGGTTCTTTATCTAGATTGTGCTACAATATAAGGCTGGATTTGTTCTAAGCTATGGGTCAGACTGAGCTGAAATGTGATTGACTTGTTTTCCAAGCCCTCGTCCATATAACGAAACCACTGGCAGGGAAAGAGATGTATGCTCGTAAGATTCAAGCTGGTCTTAATGAATAGGACTAAATGGATTTTTATTTACTGTTCTGTGTTAAGTGTTTTGACATTAGAAAGAGACCCTTAACACTCTGCTATGTGAATAAAATGTTATGTTCTCACATGGCTTTCTAAAGGGTCTTATTTTTTCTCTTGATAGTTTTAGACATGAAACAACTTGAAAATATAATTAACATGCAGCTTACCTACTTCTTAACTTGCCCTTCTGAGAAGTACGTTACCACAGATGTCGACATCATCACTCGTAAGTAACTTGTGATTTAGAGTTTTGTGTTTTTAGGGACTTACTTATCTCTGATGTTGAATGTATTATACACTGAGAAATTTCCTTGAAAAAACCACCCACAAAATGTCAATGCCATTTTCCTTTGTTTTCAGTGAAAATTAATCCCCCTCCCCCATTGCACAGCCTTATTTAATTCCTTTGTTTGCTGCATTGGCATACAGGGATATCTATAGATGTAAAGAAGTTTCCACTAAAATTTTGGAAAGTGTATTGTCAGCTAACATAAATTAATATAGAAAAGGAGAAAGAAATGAAAACACTGTATCTCACTTCAGCATATTTTCCTGACCCCAGACCAGGATGGGATCTCCTAACAGTCAGGAAAACAGACAAGGAAAATACTCAACATCACTGCCCCACTAGATTGGCAGTGGCTCTGAGGATTAGGAACCACATCTTGTTGATCTTGTTTTGTTCCACACTGCCTAACACAGTGCTTTCTTCTTGCCAGTGGTAACTCTATGAAAGTAGAAGTGTTAATCATATTTTACAGGAAAGATAATAGAATTAAAAAGTGTCACTCAATGATGTTGAAACAAATAAATGGCCATGATTACTTAGATCTGGAATTCATGTTTTAAAAAAGCCATTTTTGTTTAGGTAATATAAACTTCGGAATTTCAGGCTCCTGGGGTTATGTGCTTTCTCATTTGCTTCCCAAAGAGGAGGAGAAGAGTTTCCCAGCCAAACAAAACTTCACCGTTCTTGAGCCTAATTTGTATAGTTCGTTTCTGAACCACTTGCTAACTGTCTTAGACCTCAGGCCTCTGTTAAATTCCCTTGCCTGTGTTAACAGAAGCAAAGGGAAGTGGGATCATGCTGATTAGTTCAGGCTGTGGCAGCCTGTCCCTGGCACACATGACTTCTACAAGGCAGTGGAGACATGGAATGGACAATGGAAAAACTGTCACAGTGCTCACCAGAGGTGGACATTTTGAATCTGCAAGAGGTGTGCTTTAGTTTAGATTTGCTTGTTTCTGCCAAGTTGTCTTCCAAAAGAGCTGTACCAATCAATATTCCCATCAACATATAAGAAAATTTGTTTTCTCATGTTAAGCATTGTTAATAATTTCTTTTAGTCAATCTGATGGGTGAAAATGATCTTGCTATAGTTTCCTTTTCTGATTACTACTGAAGTAATGTTTTCATATGTTTTATGTATTTATTGGCCATTTGAGTTCCTTCAGTGACTAAAAGATATTAACAGTCTTAAAAAAAGATAAAGCATATTTTAGAGTAAATATTTATTTTATTTTCCTATAAATATTTTTCTTATCTCTGAAAACAAAACCAAACACTAGATTCAGATAATGTGAGTATATTAATGTGTATTATGGGAAAACTATGCATGGTTTTCAAAACTTTTTGTACCAGAAATTATGGGATATGTACTCTTTAGAATACTATACCGCAGTAAGAAACAACGAAATCCAGTCATTTGCAACAAAATGGAGGAATCTGGAACACATCATGCTGAGTGAAATAAGCCAATCCCAAAGGGACAAATACCATTTGTTCTCCCTGATCGGTGACAACTGACTGAACACCAAAAAGGAAACCTCCTGAAGTGAAATGGACACTATGGGAAACGGTGACTTGATCAGCATAGCCCTGACTGTTAATGAACAACTTAATACATTATCCCTCTTAGTAGTTTTTTTGTCTGTTCTACTTAATATGACTGGTTTAATTCTGTAATTAATACACAGTTATTCTTTTTTTTTTCAGTTATTCTTAAGTGTTGAAAATTAACTGAAATGTGATCCCTGTTAAACATAAGAGTGGGAATAAGAGAGGGAAGAGATGTATAATTTGGGACATGCTCAAGCTGACTTGCCCCAAATGGTAGAGTTAGAAACATACCAGGGGATTCCAATTCAATCCCATCAAGGTGGCATGTACCAATGCCATCTCACTATTCCAAGTGATCAATTTCAGTTCACAATTGATCATAATGAAAGGACTAAGAGTCAAAGGGAGCACATAAACAAGTCTAGTACCTGCTAACACTAACTGATAGAATAAATAAAGGGGAGAGTGATCCAACATGGGAAGTGAGACACTCAGCAGACTCATAGAATGGCAGATGTCCTAAACAGCACTCTGGCCTCAGAATCAGCCCTAAAGGCATTCAGATCTGGCTGAAAAGCCCATGAGAGTATTTCAGGCATGGAAAGCCAAAACACTCTGGCAAAAGATCTCTGTGAGTGAGATCCCAGTGGAAAGAACAGGTCTTCAAAGAAGGGGGTACCTTTCTCTGAAGGGAAGAGAGAACCTCCACTTTGACTATGACCTTGTCTAAACAAGATAAGAATCGGAGAACTCAGAGGGCTTCCATAGCCTCGGAAACTCATGACTGGAGCATAGGGAGATTACTGATGCCATAGACAGGAGTGTCAATTGGTAAAGTCAACAACAGGAGTCACTGTGCACTTACTCCTCATGTAGGATCTCTATCCTTAATGTGCTGTGCATTGAGATTTAATGCTGTAACGAGTACTCAAACAATATATTTCACTCTGTGTTTCTATGGGGGTGCAAACTGTTGAAATCTTTACTTAATGTATACTAAACTGATCCTCTGTAAAAAAAAAAAAAAAAGAAAAGAAATTATCAACTCCCAACTTGACTCTCACTGGGATTAAACATGACAATAGGTCTGATCTGATTTCATCATCATTTAAAAAATAAATCATCTATTATTTTTCACTTTATGTTTCTGTGTGAGAGCAAACTGTTGAAATCCTTACTTAATGTATACTAAGCTGATCTTCTGTATATTAAGATAATCGAAAATGAATCTTGATGTGAATGGAAGGGGAGAGGGAGTGGGAAAGGGGAGGGATGCGGGTGGGAGGGACGGTATGGGGGGGAAGCCATTGTAATCCATAAATCGTACTTTGGAAATTTATATTCATTAAATAAAAGTTAAAAAAAAATAAATAAATTAACACAAAAAAAATGACCATCTCCAAAAAAAAAAAAGAAACTTTTTGTACCAAAATAGATTTATCTTTTAATTCCATTTCCTACATACTTTTTGAAGTACCCGTATATATTCATGTTAGTTTTTACATATTCTAAATATATTATGGACAAAAATTATTTTGTGTCAGGAAATGCAAGCCAGCCAGAATATTATACTTTTCTTTACACTTGTCTTACGTGAGGTGGTCAGGTCCCTTTTCTCCTATTGGATCATGGGAGGAAATAAACTAGTGGGAGATGAGCAGTTCTGCCTCCTGAGTAGAGGGATGAATGCAATGTAGTTGTGCTGGAATAGACAGGAATTATTTAAGAAGTGTAAGGAAAGAGCTATTGCTGGGTTGCCCAGGACTGCCCAGTGCTGCCAAGCAATGATCCAGAGGTGGCAGGCACCTCTGGACAAATTAAAAGCAGGATATCTAGGAATGCATATAGGTGATTGAATGTGAATAGGGCTAGTTAGAGGAATGAAGCTGGGAACAGGGAGAGGGGGTGGGTCTGTGCCTGCACAGTACGGTGGCCTGGGAACTGAGTGTGGCGTTTTGTGAACATCCTGAAGGAAGTGAGAGAGGAAATCTCTGTAGGAAGAGCCTTTCAGACAGAGACCAACAGGGCACAGGCCCTGAGGAGGGAGTGAGCAAGCTAGATAGTGTGGGGTGGAGCGAGAGAAGAGTGCAGTAGGAGATGGGTTGGAGAGGAGAGGGTAGGCCAGAGGATGGGAAGCCAGCTCGCACCAGCCACTCTCGAGATCTGCACATCTGGGCCCAGAGGTTTGGAGTGTACTTGTTCATTTGTGGTGGTTCTTTACACACAAAGCATTGCACTGCTACTATCCAGTCAGTGTTTACTGCGCATTTCCCGTGTTGAAACTGAGAGATTTTCTCTTTGGAAAGTGTTTTTTTTCTTTCTTTCTGTTTTTGTGGTTCTCTGGCTAGTAACTGTATGACTATAGGGTTACATTCAGGGCTTAAATATGTTCCCTTCTTGGGGATAGGCAAATGCGTATAGGTCCATACTAAAAAATACTTGAGGAACTTCTGCTAGATCTGCCATACAAGTCAACAGAATATTCAAATGCCTATTTGCTAAACAAGACATAATTGTAATTAGTGTATATTTATTGGATTTCTTTTTAGCATATTGTGGGGAGCAACTCGGACTAGACTAAGTTACTGGAATTAAGACTTATTCTATGCATCTGCTCTCCCACAATATGGCGCTGGGAGAGAAGAAAACAGCTTCTACACAGCTGCCTCCAGTTCAGCCAATAAACTGTAGGACTTGCTCCTGATTGGAGGAGAGCAGCGTACTCGGCGTGTGGGCAGCCGAGTTGGGATTGGCGGAGGAGGACTATAAAGGAGGAGAGAGACGGCATGCACCAGGAACATCTAAGGGGAACATCTAAGGGGAACACCTGTGCAGCCCCCGAGAGAGCCGGCCGGCGGTGTGCCGCTCCCCTGCAGAAGTGGGGAATGTGGCAGGGGGAACCGCCCTTCCACGGAGGTGGAAGGGACAGTAGCCAACCCGGGAAGAACCAGCAGCAAACCCGGGGAGGGCCGAGCAGACGAAAGAACAGCGCAGGGTTTTGTGTCGTTCCTCCACGAAGAGGGGGAGCGACACATATGAATTTTTCAACTGATACATAACATATGTAGTAAGATACATAAATGTTAACCACATAGTGTGATAAATATGTATACCCATGTACCTGCTACACAGATCAAGCAACATATGGGTGGCTTCTGGCTCCCACTGGGCTTCCTCTTGCCCTTTCTCTGCCAGTTACCTACCAAAGGTCATCACCTCTGACCTCTGTCACCACAGGTGGGTTTAACCTGTTCCTGAGTTTTGCATCCACAGAGTTGTACTATATGTATTCTGTGTCTGGCTTCCTCCAGAGTGAAATCTGTCAGATTCGTCTATGTCCTCGTGCCCAGCAGGAAGCCACTGTTTTCCATTCCCGTGTGGGAAACCAAATCAACCCATCTGTTCTGCTACTGCCGCACATCTATGTGATTTTCGGGTTAGAGCTCTCACCATGCTCAGTGGGTTCTGGGAGTGGCCGAGATGTGGCGCGCTGATTGCCCCCACACAAGCAGGCTCAGGTCTGGCTCCTCTTTAGCCCCTCCATCCTTCATCTGCTTCTCTGCTGTTGAGAAAAAACCTGGAGTTTCCTGTAAGAATCTGATATCTGTTTGCATTTTATTGTAAAAAGAAGTCAAATATTCTCTGTGCTTTAAAACATCGTTTTTCTCTTTTCTCTTTTTTAAAGATTTATTTATTTATTTGAAAGGTAGAATTACAGGAAGAGAGGGAGAAGGAGATTTAGAAGGAGAAAGGTCAGTCTTCAATCTGTTGGTTCACTTCCCAAATGGCTGCAATAGCCAGGTCTGGGCCAGGCTGAATCCAGGAGCCTGGAACTGCGTCTGGGTCTCCCACATGGATGGCAGGGGCCCAAGAACTTTGGCCATCCTCTGCTGTCTTCCCAGGCGCCTTAGAAGGGAGCTGGATCAGAAGTGGAGCAACTGGGACTGGAATTGGCACTCATATGGGATGCCGGCCTTTCAGGTGGCGGCTTAACATGCTGAACCCCTTTGTGTTTACTTATGTGTAAAAGTAACTGAGCATTGTAATCCTGCATTTTTTAAAACCAGAGCCAACTTTTCTTATGGAGTTGTTCTGGGAGTTTGGCATTACCACTATCAAAATTGGACATTTCTATTACTGGTTCACTTCTGTCCCCTGAAATTCATATGTTGAAGTCCTAACCCCCAGTACCTTGGAATGTGATTGTATTTGGAAATGGCTTTTAATGGGGGTGACTAAATTAAAACGAATCCATCAGTTAGTGGACCCTAATCCACTCTGACTGGTGTCCTTGTAAGAAGAGGAAATTTGGTCCCACAAGGGGGCCATCAGCACATGGGCATCTGCAAGGCCAGGAGAGAGGACCCATCTGAAACCAGCACTGCTGGCACCCTGATCCAAGATTTTGAGACTCCAGGACTGTGAGAAGAGACATTCCTGGTATTTAAGCCACCCCATCTGTCCTACTTTGTACTACAGCGCTGGCAAACTAGCAGGCCTCCTCAAATAGATTCCCAAGTGACGTAAAGTAACATCTGTACAAACATTTGACCTCCTTTAAAATTTTCATTTTCAATCAGGAACTTAGCAAGCCCCACTGCTGACAGTGACTTAAATGTGCCACAGGGGCCGGCGCTGTGGGTAAGGTCACTGCCTGCAGTGCTGGCAACCCATGTGGATCGGAAGTAAAGCAGCCAGGGTTTGAACTGGCGCCCATATGGGTTGCTGAAGGCCGGGGCTTTAACCTGCTACGCCGGCCCCGCCGGAGTTGTTTTGTAAGACTCTTCCTAAGAAGCACTATCGGAGGAGGCTGCTTTCTACAATAGCTGCGGTGATGAGTGCTAAAGCTGCTAATTAACCATTGACTTGTCCTAGTTTACCTGATGTCTGCAATTGCCCATAAGGAACAAGATTTCAGCACTGTTAAGGTTTTTTTTTAAGATTTATTTATTTGTTTGAAAGGCAGAATTATAGAGAGGCCAAGGCAGAGAGAGGGGGAGGGGAGGGGGGAGAGAGATCTTCTATCTGCTGGTTCACTCCCCACATGGCTACAATGGCCAGAGCTGAACTAATTCAAAATCAGGAGCCAGGAGCTTCTTCCGGGTCTCCAGTGCAGGTGCAGGGTCCCAAGGACTTGGGCCATCTTCTGCTGCTTTCCCAGGCCATAGCAGAGAGCTGGATTGGAAGTGGAGCAGCTGGGTCTTGAACCAGCACCCATATGGGATGCTGGTGCTTCAGGCCAGGGCATTAACCTGCCGTGCTGGCCCCTTCTTTGTGTCTTGTTTTTTCTTTGTAGCAGCAGCCATAGCAGCAGCAGTAACTTCTGCATATAGTTCTTGAGCAACACAAGTGTAAGCCACTGGCCACATATGCAAAACCGAAGTTGTGTTGTCACAGGCAAGATGAGTGGCATGAACGGGAGGTTGTAGGAGGAAAGGCCAAACTGATAACCACTGAGTGCAACCTGTGGACTTTTTTCTCATACTACCCCAAAAATACAAGGTTCTCAAAGTCAAAAGAACTGATGTTTTAGAGTTCCAGGGGTGCCAGCACATCCAGCTAACATTAATTAGGCTTTTGAGCCTGGTACCATGTGACAGCTTGAGGGGAATTTTATCATTTAGTTAGTGTCTGGATGACAACAACAGGAGAAACAGTGAGAGATTTCCATCATTTGTACCAGTTGCTTAAAAAGTTAACATTAAAGTAAATTTAGAGGTTGCAGTGAAAATAAATGTTGTTAGGGTTAGATCATTTAATTTGCATCTTCAATATATTGTCTATAGTCAGACTCTCCCAAACTTTTTCTCTGGCCTGACTTTGTGTAATTTCTGTGAAAGCTCACTTTGCAGATGCACCTCGCTCTGGAAGCTTCCCAGTGAGCATACGAAAGGGTGCCAGTCATGTCGTCATCTGGCTTCTCATCAGCCCTGTTTACTTAAGTGCTCTTCAGCCTAAGTTAGAAAAGGGCGTTGGTGCTGTGGGCATCTTGGTATGGCCAGGGACGATTTCAAGATTTTATTCACACTGTACCATGACCACAAGCAGTTGGAGGGAGTAAGAATAATGTAGCACCTGCCCTGTTTTGCAAACATAAATAACCTATAATCCAACATCTTCTCTGCTGACAAAGAGAACAATTTCTGACCAGTGGTGTCTAGGAAACTTAGTCTTCAAATCCGTTCCTTCTCGTCAGGAAAGAGAGA